TCGCAACACAAATCAGTTTCACTTACAAAATAATCCAATGACGCTGGCATAATTCGATATCAGTATAAATCCCTGGCCTTCAATTTCCGCTGCAGTCTGCCACAGGCAGATATGACGGTGCTGTAAAGGTGCCTTGAACATTTTGATTAATTCACTAAGAACCACAGTGTAATCAGACATCTGTAAAGACAGCGCCTTCTGGCTTGATTTAGTCTGACCTTTCAGCTCAAAGTGAGGAGAGAAGAACGTGGTCGGGTGACCCACCAGGAATGCAGGTTGTGCCTTGGCTGATATATCTGCACATGGCCTGAGGCAAACCTGGAGCAAAAGGTGATTTGTGTACATGGTACAGGACTCATTTGCCTGGGTCCATTTTTTAAACTAGTATTCTTATGCTGGATTTGCAACACGATGCGCTTGTTATAAGCCTAGATCACAATTCCATTTCTATATTTTATATTTCTACCAATTGTTACAATTTTCTGTTCATTTTACTAATTGTAATTCTAACTGTTCTACAGTAAACTGACAGCACCTTCTGAATCCTCAGTCATGCGAGAAGGGGATCTCTTTTTTTAAATTTCCTTTCTTAAGCTTTTAGCATTTTTTTCTTTATACCCTTATACCCATTGCTGTTATGGGCCTTTCATGCCAAGTTGAGACATTCTACATGATACTGGTCTGAATAAATGACATGACTATGGTAAGAGAGAAAATGTAACATTTTCAGTTTGGAAGTGCTCCAACTGTTGCAGACTGATAGAGCCACATAGGTTTCTGTGGAAGATCTGGGGTTTCTACTGACCACATTATCACCCTCCCCTCAGGCACATTCCAACAGCCTCCACCCACCTGCCCAAAATAAACTGTACAGCTTTAACCCCTTCCTCCCCACCCACAGCCCTCCAAAACACTCAACCTGCACATGATTAAACTCCAGAAGATATACAATTTTAAGTTTCCCAAAATGAAAATCATGATTTTATGTCACACAAAATGAAAATCATGACTTTGTCACACAACTGTTTTCATGGATGAAAAAATTCTGTGCTATCTTCATGCTGAAAGTACAAACAATATGATCATTTTAAGAACGGAGTCTGTAGTTAATCTTCACAACAAAGCCAGTACTGATAAGAGTGGCTTGTCAGACTCGTGCATGTCATAATTAACTTCAACATCTGCTGTGGCAACAAAGTGACTTTTTTTGCATTTATGCTCAGTAACACCTGCTAAAAAGTCAGTGTTAATGTATAAGATTAAAGTAGGTGGCACAACACTAAAACTGACAATGAGTTGCCTCTACTCACAGTTAATGTCTGTCAACTGTCAGTCCTGGATTAGCTTGTTCATCTGTGTGATAAATCTCCCTTGTTCAAAAACAATTACATCAGGGAAGGGCACCACTGAACTGGGTGACATTTTTTTTCATTACGAAAACCCCAGACCCTGCTATGATGCCCCAAAGGCTTTGAGTGGCCATAATTTTCTGAAGCTGGCATGAGTCAATTGAGTATGCACAAGATCTTTTGCAAGCTCTCAACTTTGTTTACATTCTGCTAGCTGCTCACGCTTAGGTCTTGAGTTTGCTAATGAAGAAATGTGTCATCCAGTACAGCAAAGTGTTTCACTGATGTGTTTTTAATCATTTCTGAACAAAAATGGAGGTCTATGGCATAGATGAATAAGCTAATCCAGGACTGACAGTGATGAATATTAACCGCGAGCACAGTAAAGGCAGGACAGGAGCTATACCTTTAGCTACCTTAAAGCATTAGGCTGATGATTATCTACATTGTGTTGTTTTCTACAAATCCCATACAGAGACTAAAACAAACAATGAAATTTGAGTACTCACTGTAATGTCTGTGAATTTAGAACCTGTATTGCTCCATTGTTAACCTTCACTGTTGCTTGAAAACAGTGAGCCACACTGCTGCACTGGGTGACATGTATCAAGAAGGACACAAATTCATTGCTGGTTTTAGTCTATGTATGGGATTTGTGAAAAGAAAAAAAAAAAAAAAGAAAATCACTGGCCTTTTAATTGAAGTCGTAGCTTCTGAAGTTAGTTTTAACTTATGAGAAGCTGCTAATACAGTTCTACAGAGGAATCATCAAGTCTGTTCTCTGCACCTCCATCACTGTCTGGTTTGGCTCAGCAACCAAACAGGACAAGTACAGACTTCAGTGGACAGTCAAGACTGCAGAAAAGGTCACTGGTGTGAGCCTGCCCTCCATGGAGGACCTGTATACCTCACGGGTCAAAAGGAGGGTGGAGAGGATCACTGCAGACCCATCACACCCTGGACACGATATGTTTGAACTCCTCCCCTGGAGGCTCTGATTCTGATGAGCCTGACAGGTTTTGTAGCAAACTTCCAGTGATGGAGGTCTCTGTGATTGGGTGAGAGGAATTTGCAGGTAAAGTTTTTCTTGTCTTTGCAGCTGCATCACATTACATTTTTTTGGCAATGTTTCAGTTGGCTGCACAAATTGTAATGTTACATTTGCTGGTGTGCAGCCACAGTAAATTTAGCCATTTCTGCTTAGGGTTCAAATCACCACTATTACAAAAATTACTATATAATTGAAACATTTTTACAGTTCATAAAGTCTTTATCAAATAAAAAGAATCTGAAAGTTTGTCCTGAAAATACATTCAAAACTGTGGTCTGTAGATTTAACTACTGCCTGCTTTTCACATGACAAGCAGAAACCACAAAGGACATGTTCAGGAGAAAAAAGAAGAAGCTAAGTAAAATGGCACACACCAAATATAAATTAAGGCTGAAATCACTGAGTTTGATTTGCATGGGGTTAGAATTATCAGGGGACAGACAGCGCTCATCATAACAGGTTGGTCATTTTTACAATACACACTGCAGATAAGGTGCGTTCATAATCATGCACCACAGCTACAATTATTACCAATCACTGTAATCATCTAAAAGCAGAATTGGTCCTGTGTGAATGATGTGCAGGACTAAAATCCTGGATTCACAATCAGCAGTAAGGAGGCTGAAGGTCACAGCTCTCTGGAAACAAATGTGACAGTCGTTTCTCCGGCCATAAAACATGTTAAACTGCAGAAGGCTTTATATGATAGCATGCAGTTTGGTCCTCCCCTCATCTCTATCTCTATAGTAGGAGCGGTTTGTTGTTGTGTAGGCGTGCCATAGGTTTTAATCAACTATGAATTGGGTTCCACTATTTTCAGGGCCAACATACCGGCTGTCCAGTTTATCTAACGATCAGTTACAGTGAATTCATGCTTACATGATCCACCAAAAGATAATGCATTTCCTACCAGAGGTATGAAAACTACCAACTGTTGAGAGTATCAATTTTAGTCATTCACACAAAGCTTTATGGGGAGGGGACTATTTAAAGAAGCAGATGCTTTAGGGAAGTTATGTTCCAAATGCTCTATAATTACAAGAAACAGGCCTTAAATTACAGAATCTATGGTCCGGTTTAAAATGAAGCATACTAAGGCTGGGTGGGCTGCACTGGCCTTAATTTACCTCCAACATAGTAAAAGCATTAATAACAATGTTTGAAATCCCAAAACTGAAAGAAAATAAAAAGAGTTCATTAATCTCTAAACAGTTGAAAGACAAGCTGCTATTGTCAGACATGTTTTATGGCTTCAAATACTGCTGCAGGCCATGACTAAGTTTGCATTTCAACAGTGGCTTCCACTGTATCATATAAGCTGCCTTTGCATGGAAAGGTGGCTTGGTACTGTATATGTCACACTTTAATCCAAGTGAGACAAGCTTTTAGTTTCTGTTTTTAGGCAGACACAGAGGAATATTTGTTTCATTGACAAATGAATCAAATTAAAGATTCTAAAAATACTGCTACTGTTCCTGCTCTACATCTCTAAAATGTTGAAGTTGCATAGTAAATGGTAAGTAAAGTAACAATTTCAGATGAAGTCTTTCTTCTTCTCAATGTATTGTATCTCAGTTTTTTAGAAGAAACCTTTACTTTACTGATCTAATTTCCCCAAATGCAGCATTTTTATCTAAACTGACACTGCATTAACAGGGGGGGGAACTGGTAGAATTACCCATGTACACTACAAGATCTGTGCAGCAAACAAAACAAAATGCAAAGTATTTAACAACTAGTGATCATCATCAGAAGTGAACGGTGAGCAGATTTTACACACTCCCCTCTGAGTGATTACCGACAGCTGCTCTCCATCCAACTGTTGACAGACTGAAATCTCTTCACCATAAACAGCCCATCTTATTCCACTGGGACCTCCCTCCTAATGTCTAGCCCTCTCGTATGTTTGCAGTAAATGCCAGCATGGTAAAGTTGTTACAATGCACCTTAACCCTACCCTCCTCCCCTGCTTGCTGCTGTCAGCTTCTCTTCCTCAGGTCCTGTTATGACAGGAAACTACCATTGTTTTACTCTTAGGCCGCATGAATTGCAAATGTCAAATCTCACTAGGCCTTAAACTGCTCCACCAGGAAAACTGACTGCTGTAGAGCAGAACTCTTAATGCACACACCCTGCAAGAACATCTGTGGCAAAGACAAACCTTAAAGTCTCAGGTTTTTTAACATTTGGTCAGTGGCTGGTGTTAATTTCACACCATAGCTGGATAACCTCATGGGGTCCTGAGAAAGTAACATACAGTTTGAATGTCAGGAGTGTGAGCATGAGTCCCTGATCAAAAGCCAACATTTATTTTTTTTTATGTTTATGTACTTCCATAGTGTGCTACAGCAGCTGACTATAGACTTTTTTAGGAATTTAGCTGATATGACAGCAGTGACAACATGAAGGTGCTGATCTTTAGTTTCCAATATAACCACCCAAAAGTAGAAACAGTGTGTGTCAAAGCTGCAGACTCTGAGGTGACTGAATCCCCAGTAGCATATTTATTTATTAAGAGTGTGTAAAAGTGTTAAAAGTGAGTGAACACACCAATAACACAAAAAGCAGAAGCAGGATGTAGAGATACAAACAGATGCTACCTGTCTGAACTGCTCCTCGTAGGTCCACTCTGCATGGTCCTGCCCGCCCAGATTGTTGTGCGTGCTGTGGGAAGGCAGGATGGATACACGGGGTTCCTGGTCTACACTGGTGCGGGCCTTCAGCAACTGGGAGTGAGGGTGGAGCTGGCGGTGGGGCAAAAGAAGGATGCCTTTCCCAGGGGCAACAGCATCATGGCCTGTCGGCAAACCTCCTTCTGTTAGGTCATCGTCAAAATCTTCTTCCATCTCACCTTCAAAGTCCTCCTCATCCCATTTCTGTTTGCTGTGTGTGCATCATAAACAGAATAATGCTGTTTGACAGACACTGAACAAATTTCAGAAGCTTTAGAAAATCCTACCCAAAGAAATGGAGTACTTACATCTGCTCTTCCTCGTCTGACCCCATCACGTCCTTGTATTGCTCCTCCCCTTCTTCATTGTCATCATTGTCACCTTCTTCCTCACCGCCACTGCTGCGCTCTGACATGGGGCTGACTGACACTCTTTGCAGCCCAGCCGCCGCAGCACGCATGGCCGCAAGCGCTGCCATCTGGGCCTGCTCCGCCTCAGGGGCAGGGCTTCCCATCGGTTCTTCCCCTCCTCCTCCTCCTCCTCGTCCACCTCTGCGGATGTGAGTGTGGTGTGTGACGGCTTGCTGCTCTAGCTGCTGCTCCATCAGCAGCTTTGCCCTCTGCTGCCTGTGCAGGTTTTCCATGACAGCCTGCAGCTTCATCTCTGGGGAAAGTGGTACAGCGTTCAGCTGCCTTCCTTCCCCTCCCTCCCCCACTAAAGGAGCACCAGATGGGGGGACGATGGTCAATTCTTCTGCCCAGGGAGAGCAATTGCCAACTACACCTGTGATGAAGCAGCTAGCAGCTGACTGGAGGTTTGGTGATGATGATTATGTGGAAATGTGGGTCTTTGAGGAAAAGCAGAAGAAGGAAGAGGAAGAAGGTCGGTCAGAGCTCTGAGACATATAGTCAGAGGTCGACCGTAGCTCTGGAGACAGAGGCCTCTCTCTTTTCTTAATGGTTTTTCCTGCAGGTGGGGGAACCAAAGCTGGCAGCAGAGCTGAGTTGCACAATGTTCAATGCGGTACAAACAGTGAGAATGAAGGTGAGAGTGACAGACTACAAAGACCTGAGGGAGAGAAAAAAAATAACAGAGTCAGACTGCTGCTCTGTAGCTTCAGTTGAAGGGCAAACACCAAAACTGTCTGACAACTTTCCCCAAAGTATCAGTACAGCCAAACAGGTTTCTATTTTTAAAACTCGACTTTCCATTCACTGAACTTTCACTAAAATGGACATCTCTAACACCGGTGACCTGATTTGAAGCTGTAAAGCAAGTATGGTTAAAAACTACACTTATATTTTATGCATGTTGTAATTTTGTTGTTGGAATTGCACTGGTTACATTTCCCTGTTTTGTAACCACCCTATATTTTAGAAAGAGTTAAAAAAAATAAACAAAGTTTGTAAATGATGCTGCAAGGAGAAGTCCGACATGTTATTTGAGGAACTTGATCAATCACTTAGATTCGTGACAATCAACCACCTGACTTAAGTCTTTTCAAAAACTTCTGTTCATTGCAGAAGAGCAGAAAACTACAACAATCACTAACAGGGCCACTGTCAGCTGAAATCAAGACGTAAGAAACTGTGACAAAAAAGAAGCCACCCAATTTCACACACAAATACAAACTGCAGTCAAAAAAATCCATGTGAAAATACAGACTTCAAACTCATGCCTGTTGCACCATATGCACAGGATTGGACTGATAATTTTTCCTTCAACTTTCAGGTTAAAAAGAAAAGTGTGTAATTTGCAGCAAGTTTCAACAATATGGTATCAATAATGTATATTGTCTGCTGCCAATCAACTGTACCCCCAAAGTCACACTCGAGGGAATGTAACTGTCTGCCTTGCCCACTCTCTGTTTACTTAGAACATGTTCAAAATGTTAAGTCTGCAGCTCAGATCAGTGCAGCCAAGATAAGAGCTTCACTGTAAATCAACAGCACGTGGGGAAAGTAAGCACAAGTGCAGGTGCTGGGCACGCTGAAGTTTCAGTCATGACAGGAGGCTGAGGTGAGTGTATTCCACCACTCATTCAGTTACACTGACTAATCCATGAACACACAGACCTCTGCAACTACCACCTGCCCCAATCTTGTACTTTCAGAAACTTCAGGCTTTGCATTGGGTGAAGGCATGAATGACATTCTCCTTAGAGTGATCATTGGATTAACTGTTTAAGTCATTTTTAGGCGAGTATCTTGTTTGTTTTCTTGTCTTCTATAATAATAAAGTGGATATCTGCATGTTTTGGACTACTGGCGGGATAAAAAGTCATTGGAATCTGTCAACCTGGGCTTTGAGAAACTCAGATGGAAAATTTTCATTATTCTCTGACATTTTATATGCTTTTGATAGCTGACATTTACCATTATTCCAATGGATAAAAACAAAGGTTATAGGTATTAGGTGTTTCACTGAAATGTATCTTGTCAGGGTGAAAAAAGCATCTCAAAAGCATGATTAAAGTTATGAAGACCACAAAACACCCCTCCAGCGGAACAAGGTTTCACAGCAATCCTTGCCCACAATATACTGTACCTCATCATTACAATGCATTGAAGCTATTACCAGAGGAGTTTCTTTTTCTTGAGTAGGGGAAAAGGGTTGTTTTTATTCTGCAAGTGGCTCAATGGAATTAGACAGACAATCATGCTTGAGTTTCATAAATATACAATGCAGGCGGGTTCTGACAGGTTCTGAGCACACAGGAAGGATAAATAGCATATACACTTCAGATCCAATATCTCTCGGCAGGCTGGCAACTTAAACTAGGTTCTGCTTCCATTTACAGGAAAATGGACTGTTTTCTATGACTATTGTTTACATAGTCATGAATACATAATGAGAAGAGAGACAACACCAACAAACGTCCTGATTATCACTGTGACTCTGCAAGGAGGCATTACAGCCAGGAGATGTGCTTCTCAATCAGCCAGTGCAACAGTATACGTAAGATCCAACTGCAAAATAACAACAGCTTGTGTAGCTTTATACGGGGTGACTCACCTGTAATCCCCAAATCCGTGAGGAATTGAATGGGTCACCAGTGACAGACGTTTAAATGCACCTTTAATTGAAGTCAAAGACTTGTTCCACAGCACTCATTTCCAGGCGACTCTGTTTAGCTGAGATAATACATCTAGGTTTCACTTTTGCTCCTCCCTAAAAATGTATTAATTTGCAATAAACTTTACTGAACAGCTGAACAACCTCTGAAAATCCAAGTCTATCGAGCAATTCTGCAGAAGTCTGAACTACAGCATGAACAGGAAAAAATATTTCCGTCACCCTATACTATGTCTTTACATTAAAGAAATATTGTGCAATGAAGAGCTGTGAAACTTGTTTCTTCAGAGGGTTAAGGAAGTGACAACTGCCTGAGCAGATGCAGTGAGGCAGCTGATAGATACGCAGCACTGATTCATTACATTCTTCATAGTGATAGAGTCACAACTGAATGGCTGCAGTTGTTAAATGAAGAATACCACCAGTATAAACAGGATTAAAACATCTTACCCAACTGGATCTGCTTTAACGGAGACAACCTGTCTCTGTACTATATACTGTGACTACAGTACAAAGCATGACAGTGGGCTGGAACTGGAAAGACATCAGGAATTATGGGTGACACATGTGGACTATCCAGTTATTTTTCACTGAATGACACAGACAAAGTCACTTCAATATGTAGCCACAGTCTGAACATGCAAGCAAAAGCTACATTTTTAGCTTTCACTCGTTTTAGCCAAAAACAGCAGTGCCTCTGATACATCTCTCTCAGTCTGTCGTACAAGTACATGTCATTTCAAAGGCAGAAGTGACTAGAACAAAGCTGTTCCATTGACTCTTCATGTGCAAAGAGAAGCAGAAGTGGTCGCTGTGTTTCATGCCACTGTTCATCATAGGCATCATGATTTCCCATATGCTAGATGGTGCAAATTACATTGCGCCACTAAAAATGTTCTCCCAACTTCCCCATATGAGGTGACACTTTGATGCTTATATGACAGCGATGACATTCATGTAATGACAATACTTGAAAATGTGGTAGTAGATGTACTGGGTCTGTAAACAAGATGAGTCAAAAACAATTCAAATGTTTTCTAAATGTGTGCATGTATCTTGGTTATAAGGGAGGTTAAATTACTGTGGGGGCCTGAATCTAATCTAGATAGTTTCAGTTATGTTTGATCATAACCAAAGGATCTGCTGGATTTTGCTCCAACCAGACACTACAGAAGCCAAACTCACCCACTCTAAACTAATAATGAATAAATATAAGCAACAGTCATTCATTAGTTCAGTGAAACCAAGTGGTCAGGGGTCGAATCCCGTTAAAAACCCCCTATGGTCTCTTTCACACTGTAACCAGGCTTGAAAACCACCAGTGTACACTTTACGCCAACCCCCTTGGAACAGTAATCAGCCATTATTTGCATCTCCTGCTTTATTCAAAAACTTTTTTTAGCTGACAAATTCTGAGAGGAAGCTACAATTGGCAGGAAAGAGAAACAGGTTTCATGGCCCATCTGCAGTCTTTTTCCCATGATTTGAATTGTAGTTTCTGCAAAGCTTGAGTAAAAGTAATGACTTAGTGGAGATTTGAGAATTTCTTTCTCGGGTTATTGCCAAAGCCTTATAGAGGGTTTCTGAATTCAATAGTTGGCCTCCAAATCAATATGACTACTTAGCATATTTTGTTTGCCAAAGACCAAAGGACAAATGCAAATCCTGCATTGATGGCTAACATAATAATTTTCTCTTAAGGGAAACCATCTGTTTTAGTGACTGAGAAGACTACTCTTCATGCAAAACAAAAACAAAAAGCAAAGCCTGATAAAAAGCATCCCCTGTGTGACTGCCATCATTGCCTGTTTACTAAAATCTTACCTTACTCTCACATTCATATTTTCACTACTCTTAAGGCATACATTTGCATTTTACGACCATTTTGGAGTAGCAGGCTAGAAAGATTCAGACTCAAAGCTGAAAGTCCTGCTTGCACCCTTGTCTGAATCCCAACAAGTATTTAGGACTTCTGCTCACTACACAGCATCACGTATTGCTTTTACACAACAGCAAAGGCAATCTCTTAAATTTCAGAGCTGACTATAAGACCCTTAGGGCTCATTTAACACCTTAATTGGCTCGAGGGAGGCCGATCTACTGGGACACAAGTCCGTGTGGGGGCAGGGAGGGGAGGAGCCACCAGGATAAACTTTAAAGGTGATTGAAAGAAAGATAAAGTAGAAATGATGACAGTGAACAGGAACAGGTTAATCCTCTTTTTTTAACTCACATTTGAGAGGTGGAAGATTGCAAAGTCAGAGCAAACAGGACAGAGCGATAAGAACGAGAGCTAAGGGTCTAATTCCAGAGATAAGGAGACCAATAGCGCCGCA